AGATGAGAATCTGGCCCTTTCCTCCTATTGTACTTGGATGCAGGAATTCCTCTGAAAACATGCTGCACCCAGAGCTGGCTGCCCGCACACATCAACAATTCAGAGAATGCAAGATACAATGACTGTAATTGTGCAGTAGCAGCTCCTTGGACAAACACCACAGGGTAATTCAATCCTCTTCACTTACAAAGTAACTTGAATTTTGTCAGGGAGAGAGGAAAATTCCAGAAAGAAGAGAAAGTACTAGATAACTTTGCTACATTTTCAGAGATAAAAGCCCAACGCCTAGCAACACGGGCACTAGCTTGGAAATAACTACTGCCTGGGAATATTAAAACAGCCAAGAAAAGCCTCGGTTCCTTTCCCTGCTGCCAGCACAGCACCACTCTTACCGTGCATAACACATAACGAATGTGTGACCAGGCTTGTCTCCATTTCAGCACATGAATAAAAAAGTATTTGCAGGCCAGATGTTGCAGGAGTGCAGCACCGGCATGGAGTCTGCTTCACTGCAGCTTGAACGAGGCATTACTGAGATGCCGTAGGTATGGCGTGACATGGAAGAAGTGTACACAAGCGGAAGAGAAATTGATTTAGGGAGACATTACGTTGCATAAGATCAGTGCTTTGCTACAGGACATTTATTAACTCTGAAAAGATGATTAAAAAAACAGGAGATTAGCTTCTTGGCCCTGTAACGATTTCATTGTCCTGCAAAAAAAAAACATCCCTTTTTTTTTCCTTTTCTATTCTCACGGGTTCCGTTTCACAGCTGATACAAAAGTATTTAGATACTTTTAGCGGCAAAGCTCCTTTGTGCTTACATGAGCATCCTTTAGTGGGGATGACAGAGGTATTATCCAACAGCACAAAGATATCTAGGCACAGGGAAGCAGCAGACATCTGGAATCACTTAGAAAAAGCAGTAGTGCCCCAAATCAAGCTCTCACTTTCCATTGTACACCATGGGAAAATAGTTTTAGACAATTCCTCTGCACTTGCAGCAGAGCACAAATCAGCACTTGCACCACAGAGATGAAAATCACGTTCCGACTCGCTCTGCCTGTGCCCTGCTGCTGCTCCTGTATCACACCGGTTGCACACCAGCACTGCATTTCCTACCACATGCATGTCTGGAGCACCTCTCTAGAGCCTGTGTGAGGTCAGACAGTGCACTTCAAGCTGTGTGCCTTGAGAGCAGGACTTACACAGTCTTCAGTTAAGAATCTGACATAAAGAAATACTTTCCTCAAATTGATAGAAATAAGGAATTTATTTTTTTTAAATCCTGCCCCCTCCAGAAGCTGAGTAGTCTGTTCCAGCAGAACAGTCCTTTCACAATTATTTCCATTTCCCTCCTTTATCCACTAAGAAGAAAAGCCCACTTTGACTGAAAACTGCATGTTAACTTAACTTCAAGCAATTCCCATCAGAACATGCACGCTTCAGCTTGAATTAAAATTCAATCACTGTCTTAAAATTCTCTGAACATCTCCATGTATTCTGTCCTTTCTTAAAACGGCTGCTACGACCTACCTCCTCAAACAAGGCAATGTGTTAGCGGATCTTTAATCTGAGCAAATGCATCAGCTTTTCACAGGCTTTTTACAATGCAAAAAAACTATTAATATTGCCAAAAAAAATTCTCTGCTGGTGCCGGTTCTCTGCTCCTTTATACTTCCTTTGGACCTCTAAGTAGAAGCAGTGTATGTCCTCCGTGGTCTGTTTTTCCAGACAGATGGGACAAGCCCCAGGGCTGTGGTGACAGCAAACCACTGCACACAGGAGTCAGGTCTCACACAGCACCTGGGGTGTGATCGGGGGGGCAGTGAAGCCAAAGGGGCTGGATCTGGGTCTTTACGGTGTCATGAAGACCCCACCTGAAACTAGGAGTGCTCTTAGCCTACCCATTACATAGCAGGCTGCCCTGCAGATGATGGAGGTGTTTTGTAATTATTTCCTTCCCCTTTAGCATATATAAGCTGATAGGAAAGATGAACCGAAGTTCATGCATTTCCTCTCTAGAGACACGTGGACAGGGACATAATGAACACGAGTTTGGCCACCGGCCAGGAGGTACCCGTGATCACTCCCTCGAGCACTCTGATTTTGAGTATTCTGGAAGAACAGGTATGCAGGGCATTGACGCAGCCTTCATCAGGGGTTAAGTTCAAGCCAGGTTGGTGGAAGTGACTCAACCTGGTCACCTGGTCTTTTTGCCATGCCAAACGCATCGAGCTGACTTCATTTCTGCCTATGAAAACCCAGAGCAAAGGAGTTCTCTGGACTTGCACAGTGCAGGACTGCCTCGCACAGCTGCCGTGCCAGCAGCACAGCCCATACATCAAACGCAGATAAAAGTTTTCACATCTCACAGGGACTTAGGGCGTGTAATTATTATATATCGCAGGGTAAAAATTACCTTGCACAAGAAAGAAGCAAGACTCCACTCAGGTACTCACCAAGGGAGAAGTCCTTTCCCCTTCATTCTGGTCCTGATTCAGCAAAACACTGAATTCACATGGTTTCACCGGGAAGTTAAGTAAGCACATGCTTAACCTACTTCATACGACAAAGCAACTCGAAGTTTTGATGAGTTATGTATTCCAGTTCAACCAGTTTTCTTCTCCAGCATGCAAGCAGGCCAGACAGCGACTGACACTTCTTCACATGCCCTGCAAAACTGCACATCCCACCGTGCAAAACATCTCCAGAGCCTTGCAGTGCAAACAGCTCCTCACACAGTGTGCAGGGAAACATATGGGGCATGTTACCACAGGACACGTAACATCACTCTGCAAATGCAAATGCAATGGCCCTTGACTTTATGGATTAGCATCAGAGAAAGCTTAAGTTACATAAAGAGGAAGAGAGATTCTTTAAATTGAAAATGTAAATGCAGTTTCACCGAATGAAGATCATTTATCTTGTCTGGAAATTTTGATTTAAGTGAAAGTGCATCCAATTCACTTATTCTATTTTTTTCAGAATAAAATATGAGAAAAGCGAAGGTTAATGAATCAAGGTAATGAATTATAACTGAGCCAGGAAAAAGCCTTCCAGCACTGAGATACCATCCCTAGCAACACTCTTATCTTTTTCTCCCTTCTCTAGTTAAGCTCCTTGTCTTTGTGTCCTACACAAAGTCAAATTCAACACTCTTCTACTTCTTACTGGTCCTGTCTTCAGTCTCTTCCATGCGGAACCTATCCTTGCATTAGCAGGGCCCTTCCAGAAGGCAGAAAATGTCTATTTATTACTTGAGCTAATATTTACTGCTTCCTGAACTGTCACCATCAGCCTTCCAATAACATACAGTAAGAAACTGGCCAGGATGTACATTAACCAGCCATTCCTCTATACAGACTCAGAGCTGCTTAACCATATGTCTGGGTCCGAAAGTGTAATGCCCAGAGGTAAGGCTGCTTTCAATTACTCAGCACCTGTATTTCTGAAGCATGAATTCTCTTCCCCAGCTGCCAAGAAGGCTTTTACTGAAGTGGAGAGTCAAGGACTAACTCCAATAATCACGTGCTTGTATAATTTTATTTAGACCATTAACTCACAACCTAAATTCTTTATTTATTGTACAAGCTGTTAGTCACCAGTGAGACCTGAAGCAGCTCTGGTTCTGTATTCACTCAACAATGTACCTGGTCTTGTGTTTTCTTTGTCTAGACAATTACCAGGAATTAGTCCTGCTATTCAGGAAACTGAGTACACTCCAGGGAAAGGTTTGGCTCTTTTTTAATTTGCTGACCTAATATCGAGAATTGGCCCTTAAAAAATAATAACTTGGCTATAAGACATTGTTTTAAAATTTGTTGTTTACAGTTTTATGTAAGTCCCTGATCCTTGTGCCAGAATGAAGCTGTCTAGAGCAGTATGAGGTGACAAAGAGTATTCCGGCAGCTCCTAATTCAAAGGTCTCCCATAGTGGATCCCATTTTTGCTAAGCCTCTGTGGATGCCCCAAATACCTTAATTAGGCCTAAATACCTGTTTGGTCTATAACTCTCCCCTACCTTATTTATGTCTTGATACAGTGCCTGATAAATTTAATAAGAGTCTTTTCATTAGTCCCTGAGGGTTCCTTAATACAGGTCCCAATATGTGGTCACCAGTCATGTCTATGCTGAAGAGCAAAAGACCAGTGCAGACCACCTAACAGCCTGCTGGGCAGCTGGCAGGTAGAAGGAGGCAACATGACCAAGGCAGAATGGAAAACAAGCACTCTGAATTTAGCCTTTAATCTCTTATTTTGCATGGAGTACTTCTGAAGATGGGGCAGCTAGAAGAATGATTCCATAGAGAAAAAAAAATAAAAATATTGTATGTGAATAATGGAGTAAGACACCATGAACAACCCTCAAGTGAAGTCCACGCTCATAGGAAAGGCTGAACTGATCCAAATAGTTGACAGCACATTGACCTATAAACCTAAGTGTAGATACCTATTATTGATGGTTGATGGATAAATTCAAACTGGAAATACGGTTTAAGCAGCAGGGGAAACCTAATCATTGAAGCATCTTCCTACATTGTGGTTCAACTTCTACCAACTTCTGCCTTCAGCTTCTATCAAGCTGAATCATGAGGTAGGCTTTAACCCCTGTGAAGCCACTGTCTTGCTCTTATTGAACTCACCCTTTAAATCAAGAGCTGTTTGATCTCTAGAAAATACGGTATAGCTGAGCCTGGTGTTAATACCAGGTGAAATACCCCTGTGACACAAGGCTCAGTGGTTCCTTCTGGTATTCACATCTATGACGCGTGAAAGTCTGGAAGGACAGTGCAGGGTCCCAGGAGCACATGAAGAGAGAATGTGCTCATGAAGACATGACAATCAGGTGTTCAGAGTAAGGATTTTCCTCTTTCTCACTCCAAAATAACACGTGGTGAGCAATAGTACATGGTAGAGAAAATAAACAGGGATCAGTAAAAGGTATTGTAATTAACTGTCTTTTTTTTTTTTTTCTTTTAATTTTACCAAAGGGTTAGAACATCAAAATGGAAAACAGTGTTGATGTGAAGATAGAAACCAAGGGGGAAAGAAAGTCAGTAAAGCGGAATCCACTAAGCAAAGCTGGGAAGAGAGTCTGCAGAGCTGTTGGGTACATCACTGGAGACATGAAGGAATTTGGAGCCTGGCTGAAAGGTAAAGCTACTTTATCATGACTAATTAGGGGATTCCAAAGAAAAATTACATCAAAGGAGTAATAACTAACTTCTCAGTAATGTGATTCAAGTTGGAGTAGTACAGAAACTTATCTCTGCCCTGATTTATTTCTGGTTTGTAAGGAAAAAAATCTCAGCTTTGTGCTGAGATCCACACACTGCTGAACTCCTGAGGATGACTGAGATGAGATTTACCTCCCAACATGCCATGTACAAAGCTAATTTAGTCCCACAGAACATAGCCCAGGATGGTTATTCTGTGCTCTGCCATTCTTCATAGCATTCCCTGTCCTTTCAGCTGAGCAGTTTCTGTCAAGCCTAATGCCACTGTGAAGTTAAATTACACACAGGTAGATATGTTTTGTCCCCATAATAAATCAGCAACAGTATACATACATGATTTGCCATCTGAGGCACAGACATCATAAATTAGACGGTTCATATGAAACCAGTCCAGGGTACTTTATAACAGGGGACTCTGGAAACCACACTGTTCATGTCAGATTTCCAGCTGTAAGACTTCAGTATAGACCATAAAAAAAATCCCAGTCAGGTTTTACAGTCTTGTTGATTCATTGTTTCAGCCATGCTGCCAAGTTCCACTGCCAAAACTCTTCCTGAGCTTCAAAAAAATATCCCAAGTCAGTATCATCTGCATATTTGTGGGTTCGCTCTTTTTTAATTATTATTTAATTTGATCTCTTCTAGATAAACCTCTCATGATCCAGTTTATTGACTGGGTGCTGCGTGGGATATCCCAGGTGATGTTTGTCAACAATCCCCTCAGTGGGCTTGTCGTGGTTGCTGGCTTCCTAGTGCAGAACCCTTGGTGGACACTCACAGGCTGTTTAGGAACAGTTGTCTCAACTTTTGCAGCACTTATTCTGGGTCAGGACAGGTAAGTCCATTCTTTTCTCCTCCAAAACCAGACTGTCACTTTAATGCTGACTTATATGTTAAACAAGCACCATCGATGAAAACATGTATCTAGCCTTCACTGGCTATGTATCTGGTCTGGTAGGACCAGATAGATCTTCCCACCCCCTGCATCTGATGCAAAGGGACACTGGATGTAACTGCAGAAGGGGCAGTGGCTGAGAGGACATGGGACTCAAGCATGTGAAGCTGGAGGTTGATGTGTAACCCTCGGCAGATCGTCATCACACAGAGTCGTGACTGCATGGGGAGGGAGGTGGAGATGTGAGCAAAGCGCCCACAGGGGAGAAGATTTCAAGGTGTTTGCTTCCTTCACACAGATCAGCCATAGCAGCAGGCCTGTACGGCTATAACGGGGTCTTGGTGGGATTGCTCATGGCCGTCTTCTCTGCTAAGGGAGACTACTATTGGTGGCTTCTACTGCCGGTAACACTGGTGTCCATGATGTGGTAAGTCAGATGGCTCCTCTGCTTCTCAGTCCTGCTCCAGCGTCCCAGCACTGAGACTGAGCCGCTGTATTTTTATGTACTGTATAGACTACAATGGGAAAGAAACACAATTGGCACCTATGTGCTACTAATTCCATATCCTTACTTGCACCTTTAAACTCAAATGTAATCCCAAAACAAATAAAATACCCGCACAATCACAAATAAACCCGATGGGGGAAAGGAAAGTTGATGGCTGATCATATGTAATTCAATGACCTAAATGTTAGCCATATTGCAGCGATGCGTCAATTCATTTTTCTCTCAAGAGGAACACTATATTCACTGTTCCCCACCACTATCAACCACAAGTGTTTCATCTATTTAAACCATCATATAAAAATGTCAAGAAAATTTACGTCTCTAGGCACAGAAGCTGTTCAGTGGTCCCAAGACACGGTGGTTGATGCTAATGAAAACAAACAACTAATAATACTTTACTCATAGATATGACAGGTATTTGGACATATGTATTTTGCTAGGTATTTGGACAGCAAAAATTCTGAAAGCTGGTCTTTGGCCCCCAAATGTCTAGTTGGAGATTGCTAAACCACACTTATCGCCAGTCTGCCTGGAGTCCATGTGGTGTTATACTCACTTTAATTAAGCAGACCTTTGGTATCAGCCTTTTCCTCTAATGACCCTGATCCACAAGCTTGAACAAGGACACACAGCCTTCCTCACTGTTCATTCAGACCTGACACCAGTGTCCTAAATTCAATCCACTTCAAGAACAGTAAACACTGAAACTGAGCTGGGAAGTAACTTCCTTTAATCGCTGGATCCTCCACATGAGAGGAGGATCTTGGCCCCCTCATGGTCACCAAATTCACCCACATATATTGCATAACACAACGGGAATCCGTACCTCACTAGCTGTCCTGGGAAGGGTAAGCAGTTTACTGAGTAACCCCAGCATACCTCTGATTTTATCAGAAAGACTGAGGCAAATAAACAGCTTTTCACAAAAAAAAATAGTGAATTTCCTGCAGTTGGGTTTTTTTTTCTGTTGGGTTTGGGTATTTTTCCTAGCTGTCAAGCTCCTGGTGAGATCATTTTGTTCTTCTTTCAGCCCTATTTTCACCAGCTCTTTAAGCTCAATCTTCTGTAAGTGGGATCTGCCTGTTTTCACCTTGCCTTTCAACTTGGCCTTGACCTTCTACCTGGCTGCATCAGGACCCCATAACCTCTTCTTCCCAACAACTGTCATTCAGCCTGCAACAGCAACACCAAACATCACCTGGGCAGATGCTGAAATGCCAATGGTAGGACATCTTAAAGATAACGGCCTTCTCCATTCACAAAGAAAACCAGTACAGAATCATATTGTCTTCCTTTATATTACTGCATTGTGGCCTGGCAATGCAAAATTGCATTTATAACATAGCTATTATTTGAAAGGTAAAGGTTTACTCTAGGAAATTACATTTTTGAGAGCCTGAAAATGAGAATCTCTTTGGTATCTTTCACTTACAGTGGATCTAAATGTATATATTATAATCTTCAAAGAGTCTCTAGAATCTAATCACCCATCACTGTGCACATATTGATCAGCGACCCATGGCTAAGGTTGTGCTGAGACTACCTTTTCACTGACAGATTCATTTTTTCCATGTACAGAGTGCTGCATTTTTAAAATTGCATCTTTCTAATTAGAAGTGAGCAAGTAGATACTACTGTGGAAGAATGGTTGCAAACTTGAGTGCAGGCACATGTTCAGATATTTTTAGCTAACATTTAAGTGGGACCTTTCCAAATAAACATTTTATTCTCCTGCATAGCACCATAAAAATATAGATACTAGAGTAATAGCTTTCCCCTAAGGCTCAGAGGATTATTTTGAGGGGTTCTCAGGGAGTGATTAAGAAAAGAAAGTTAATTGACACTAAACAACAATCCACAAGTGACGTTTCTCAAAGAACGTGCATAATTTTATGGAGACCATAAATGGATTGTTCCACATTGAGGAGCACAACTTTTTGAGGGAAAGTGTCTCAAAACCGTCTCTAAGCTGTGACCAAGTTGGGCTCTGTCCCACCAACCCAACAAGTGTCATTCATACTCCTAGTGAAACCCAAGGGAGTTTCAGGTATATAAGTAGATGAGGGCAATAGCCTTACCTGATTAAGGTCTTGTAATTTTGGCCAAGACATTACTGGTCATTTCACCCTTGTATCTGTCCACTCAGAAGCAAATGTCTTCTCAAAGGTATCAGCTACAACTTCTGCTCCCTAGATTCACTGACATGGTCCATAACAGCCTGGAAAAATGGCCAAGACAGCAGCACATGTAATGATGAGCAAAACCTTTCACAAAAGAAATTTACCGTTGCCAGGTTTTCGCTCTAATATCAGAGGACCTCATGGCTAGGGAGCAAGGCATGACTCAGTTTCACTGAAGGAGAAACCCTGTGGAAATCCAGAGAAGTGTCCAAACTTTCCATTTACAGTCCAGAAAGAGAAACAGCATCCAACAAACATCAACATGAGCTTGAGCAAGAAAAATAGATTAAAAAAAAAAAAAAAAAACACAAAGAAAATAACAAATTGTCTTTTTTTTTTTTTCTTCTTTTTGTTTTTATTTTTATAATTCCTGCAGCTCCTGCAATCCATTCCAGTTGGGGTGGGTCAGGTTTATGGCTGTGATAACCCCTGGACTGGAGGAATTTTTCTGATTGCTTTATTTATCTCTTCTCCACTCATTTGCCTGCATGCGGCAATCGGATCAGCTGTGGGGATGTTGGCAGGTAAAGAATTGACTTGTGTCACAGATTTATATGAAAGCATGGAGAATAAAAGAGGAACGGCAGTGAATTGAGCACTTAAAGTCACAAATGTATTTTTTCCATTGGAGAATGACTGCTTGAAAAAAAATATATACATACACTTTTGTTTCAAGAATTCATTTGATTGACCTCCATATTCTCTTACCTCATTTTATGATGGTGGAAATCTTCAGAAGAAAGAAGCGTATATTTTGGATGAAATGATTTTTTATCATGAAATACTTCATTTCTAGATATATTCTGATGGGTTTAAGAGTGGCTTAATAAAAGTCATAGCCATTAGTCTGAATGTGCAGGCCTCAGGGATGCATTTAAGGTTCATACGTATGCTCGTTCACTCATATATCTTCTGCTGAAATCGCATGGCTAAATTCAGCTCAGCAGCACCAAGGAAATTCTGCTCTGATCACATTAGATTAAAGTGGCTTTAGTCTTAGACCACAGTAACACAACTGCAAGTAGGAACTCTGTGTATGTATATGGGCTACAGCCTTTAGAAAGCTGGATTCATGCCATTTCTTAGCTGTTTTTTATCTCTTTGGCCAAAGAATGACGCATCTTTGACTTATTTTCCAGCACTGAGCTTAGCAACACCTTTCAGCAAAATCTACTCCGGCTTGTGGGGCTACAACAGCTCCCTCTCGTGCATTGCAATCGGAGGCATGTTCTACGCTTTCACCTGGAAGACACATTTGCTGGCAATTGCCTGCGGTACGTACCCCACAGACTTTCATTACTGTCCCGTTCCCTTTTGAAGTGAGACGAGATGCGTTTATACCGGAGGTGGGCTGAAGCCAGATGGCCACCCCTAGCCAGGCAGATGGACTTTGGCAGGACTGACGAATGATTGAGGCGGATGTTGGAGCCATTGCTCTAACACAGCCTGACAAAATAAAAGCGGTGTTTTCACTTTCAGCCAAGAGTTGTGGTCAACACAAGAGATGTGATCAGTGGACTGAGGTCTTTGAAATTAGATGCTTAGTTTTGAGGCATTAAATTTGTTTGTCCAGCGGTGCTGGATGAACCGTGTTGTTTTTCATATGCTTTTATCATACATAACAGGTCAAATTCTTTCTTCAGAGAAGCACGTATCTAAACTTTGAGAAAATCAGAGCTCAAGATCAGTCCACAGATTAGTTAGTACAGTTTCCCCAGTCTACTGAAATGGGTACCAAAGGCATGAGCTAGGCAAAATGAAGAATTATTTATAAGGCAATTTCACATAAAATTTCAATATCACAGTGAGCTGGGAGTGAAACTATAGCTCATTCAGTGCCCATATAAAAAAGATTTAGCTTTGTATCTCATTGACCCACCTTCTAGCCCTAGAGGCAGGAGAGATGGGGGTGGAAGGGTTATTTTCCTATTTAACCCCATCCATCAAGCTACATACTTTCCATGTCAGTGCATTTTTCAAAAGCCCCTGTTTCCATAGTCACATTTTTCATCACTCCAGTTCTTTTATTGTTTTGCCCTTTCCATGAGCTCCAGGTTAGAGGGGACACAGTGCAAAGGAAAGAACTTTAATAGGGGGCTGTCCAGGCATGGTCATAAACATTGGTTGAGTGATCCAATGCAGTGTGAGAGATGTTTGTCCTTGCTGGTCTCTTCCATGAACAACTGAACTCACCAGGAACTACCTTTCTTTTCCACAGCGCTCTTCAGTGCCTACCTGGGAGCAACGTTGTCTAACATGTTGTCTGTGGTAAGTAGTATATTAGCTTTTTTCCAGAGACAGATTTGAACACTGTGTATTCTCCTGGCTTGTGGAATAAAACACTAAGAGCACAGTTCAGCCGAAGGTAGAACAAGTCGTGGGAGAGGAGATATAGCCTGCCCAGGGGCTGGGTGTTGTTCCCACTGAAACAGGCCACTTAAAATCATCACCACTTCTCATCCTTGGTGATTACATGCCCTTCCACAGCTCAGCCCTCAGCACCTCTAAGATCATTCCTATGTCTGTATTTTGTGACTGAAGTGATCGAGAAAAAGGCCCTCTACATGTGCAAAGAAACTCTAAATTTTAATTGCCTTGCTCAAGTGCCAAAAAGCAGTCAGTACAACAGTCCAGGGAAAAGCTGAATGCTTCTGGTATCCACTCCTGTCTCATCTCCATCCAAGACCACAGCAGACGCTCAAAGAAAAGGCAGGCTTCTCACTAGAGCTGGTAGATGTTGTAGGTTAATGCACAATGTCAAGCTCTCATAATGAGATCCTGCCCTCCCAGGGAGAGACTCCATCCAAAACCAAGCCAAGACTTCATGGAGAAAGCCTGTTCCAAGCTGCCTGGCTCTGAGTTTTGTTCAAGGGCTGGGGGATCAAATGAAAGAAAAACACATAGTAAACAGGTGGTTTGTGATTTTCTTTGCAGTTTGGGGTGCCATCAGGAACTTGGTCTTTTTGTTTGTCCGCATTGACCTTCCTATTAATAACCACAAACAACTCTGCTATCTACAAGCTGCCACTCTCCAAAGTCACCTATCCAGAAGCCAACCGAGCTTATTACCTGAAGATGAAGAAGCATCAGAGGTCTTGCTGTGAGGTATAAATACCCAAGAAGAGGGATACTTGGTGGATTTTAAGGCAAGAGTGCAAGTTGTTTCCCCAGAAAGTGTGATTTGTGTGCTATAAAGTCGAAAGACTGAAAAAAAATTGACAACTTCTGAGTGGAGAGCCTTTTCCCACCACATTCTTTTGTTCTACTCTGATTAGATAGGACTGTGCTATGTTGGAAGGACCTTTCCCAAGACCAATCTGTAATGATTTAAAAACACATATGTCTGAAAAGACACTTGAATTTTAAGCAGTGGGGATATGACATAGAAGTTAAAAATCTATAGTAGTTGTTAAATCCAAGTCATGGCAATCAGACATAAAGCAATAAAGAGCAGAGCATCTCTCATCATCTGATGGGACTCCCTAATTAATGGTTAAAACCATCTTACAACAGTAATAGGATACGTCTTAGAGAGCTTGATAGTAGCAGAGAAGTGGAATAAAGAGTACCCTTTGCTAAGTAGAAAATGGGTAGTGAAGAATTCTACCTGCAGGATCTCTCAAGCCCAGTGGAGAGAGATGTGCATTAGCATCATCACACACAAGATGGACAGAGACAAACTGCAGGCAGCATTGCTAACACTCGCAAGACTTGTGGTAAAAATCACAATAATGTCAGGGAGGGAGTGTCTACCAGCCCCACCATTTGGATGTTTTAGTTTGCACTAGGCTTTAACATTTCATGAAAAAAAAAAAAAAAAAAAAAATTTCAGGCTTACCCAGTTGCAGGGAAAAGTCTGTAAACCAAAGGCCAAGGAAGAAAATGCTGGTGAAAAGAATCTTTTTCTTAAAAACAAAACAAAACAAAAAACTTTCATGGTTTTATGTTAATCTCATTATTTTTATTAATACTTGAACTTGGTCATGGGTTAGCAAAGCAGGGGAAGGCAGAAGATTCATTGCTGTCCCTTTCCTATGCAGTAAAATGGCTCTGTTCAGTCCACACACAAGGAGAATTAATTCGAGCTGATTTTCTTGACTTCTCTCCCTACACCGTCCCCTTCAGCCCACAAACAGTCAATAGCAAAATGCTGCACTCTCCCAGCCTGCTGCTGAAGTTGCTGCTCTGCCGTTTCTCTCCACTCTGCAATGGAAAGGAGATGGTTGGGGAGACTGAAGGACACAGAAGAGCTCTTGTGCCACCTCTGCACAGGTTCCTGGGGTCTGCAGGTAGGGAAGGGGGAAGCTGACTTCACACCCAGCAGTGCTGGTCACCTCAGTGGGTGTTAACTCAGCCACCTTTCGGCTTGGCTCATCGAGATACTCCATCTCATGATGAAGCTGACATCTTCAACACAAATACTCCATAGGATCAGGTCCTTCAGTTGGCATTAGCTTACACACATTAATGCTGCTCCTGGGAAAGCAGATCGAAACCTGTTCTTTAAGCAGAAGAAATAAAAAGAAGCCTGTGAACAGTGCTAGTCCTGATTTTTGAGACTGGAAAAAAAAAAAAAAATCTTTTTAAGAACATCAAAAAGATCTGAGTAAAAAATATTTGAGATTAACTGCTGGCAGTATTTTCTGGTGAAGTGTTAGGTTTTCAGATATTTGACAGTATTTCTGTATGACTGACACACCAGAGATCACTTGTAAAAATGTACCATTTCCTGTGTTTTACTTGGTAAATAACTACATAATACTGTGTGGAGTTAGTTTTTCAGAGAAAATATTCATAATTTTTTTGAGTTTGGTATAAATTCTCCTCTATTTATCATCACTAAGGTCTTTCAAAGACAGGTTCTCTCTTGAATGAATAGTCTAGAAGAGATCGGAAAATAAAATTATTAAATCAGTGTATGGGGGATATTTACGAAACTTCTAACTTCTGCTCTTTATACTTACGGCATTTTGGTGCACCATTATCTTCTTAAATGTGCAAGTGCAAAGTCTGCTTCCATACAGGAGGCACAATCAGCCAAAGGCGCAGTGTCATGCCTGCAGAGCTGCAGGCAGAGCTGGAAACCTCCTCAAGACCAGATGAGGACTTGTTCCTAGGGGAGATGCTGGACCGGCTCCCAGACTGGGACTCGATGAGGTCACGTTCTGTCCAGAGGATGCACCTCTCCATTTGTCAAACTGTGATGGAAAAGGATATCTTTTGCTCTCTGAACTGACATCTCCCCGCCCAGGACCATGCATGTCCCAGAGAGGCAAACACACAAAGTCTAGCTTTCACTCTAACGTCAAAATCTGCACTCAAGTAAGAGTACACGCTTTATGACCAGTGTAAATCAGCAGATTTCCTCCGACTAGTGCTATTTCAGCTTGCTGTTGCTGAGCAACAGGGACATTTTGGCAGTACCATAAAGAAACCATATGCATAGAACAGAAAAACAACAAAAGATGAGTGCCATGTCTCAGCCATTAAAAAGATTTTGCACATCATTCAGAATTAATTCTTCATTTTACGCTATCCAGAGAATTCATTCTTCCCATCACCCCATGCAAAATAACAGTTATTTGATAATTTGACATGTATATCAGTCAGAATATGCATAGCATGCTTTTTCCCATTATCGTTCATAACACAGTCTTTGCTAACAGAACCAATTTATCTTATTATTGAAAGTGTTCTCTTTTTTTCTTTCTTTACATCAAATAAATGCTATTCAAGTCACAATTTTTTTTTCAAGCACTCTTTTTGCATTCTTGTTTCTAATCCACATGTGATATCAGACTCATATTGTGTTGAGCAGAAGTTTTAGGGTTCTTTCCTAGACTATTTCCCTCTCAGTGTCAGCATAACATAGCAAAAGAGATGTCACCGAGTTTAACATTTCTAAAAAGAAAAATTAAAAAATTAAAAACACAACACCAACCCACTTGAAAACATCTGCTTGAAATCAGATTTATCCAAAAGTCTGAATCAAATCAATTGCCTCACTGCCATTTCTTAAGCCACTTTCATTGCTTCTTGTCTGATGTGAATAATACTGTCCAAGACTCCTAGTTCCATGCCAAGCAACTGCCCCAGTTTCCACCATTTGACACTGGTGTGTCTCCTGCCCTCCAGTACCTTCTGCTATGGTTCAGCTGCCCAGTAGCCCTGGCTGCAGCCACATACCTCAGAGACCTGCACGGGGTTTGCTGTTGGAGGAAAGGGAAGGGAAAGTGGAAATGACAACTTCAGATGAGAAATTGGAGGATGCTGAGCAAGGACCAGGTCAGCAGACCTCTCTCCCTTCCCAAAGCAGTTCTGCTTCCTCACGGAGCCCGGGGCATGCTGAAAGCACCATCAGCAGTATCAAAACACAGGCTACAGCCTTCATTTCCCCTTCCCCCAGCAAACCAGTATCTGGACAAGTGCAGAAGAGGTCAATATTGAGCCATGCAGTGAAGACCATAAACCCTTGATGATGCTGAACTGGGAGGAGGAAACGTTCAGCCCAGGTTACCTGAGCACCAGACCCAAGAGCTGGTTGCAGAAACAGGACCAAAAGCAAGAGGTATGAGTGCAGCACACTAGCATTCTAGATGCTTAAATCTGGGGACATGCAATAATACAATCTCCTTTATCTGATCCTCTGGGACTGCGGTGGGTTTTCTTTCATTTTAACACGTTGTACATGAGATATAAACAGTATAAAGAATGCTAGTGTTGATAATTATCTAATCTTTTGAATCTTCGTATTTAGTGTAAAGGGTAGAATTGGCACAGAATTTGGTCATAGCTAGGAAAAATTAACCTTGCTAAGAAAGACGGTAGCCACAAGAAATCAGGGCTGTGTGTTCAAAATAAATACTTGATTATTTTCCCCTCCCTCAAAGTCTAAGCATTACAAAGGCCACTACAGCAAGTGAATCGTTAGACCCAGATGAATGATGCTCTTTGTCTTGCCATGGAAACCTGCCTTCAGGTGGTGAGGCCTTTTTTGTTACCAGCAGCTCAGCTTACTCCAGATTTTGAATGAGATGGGGAAACAGGGGTAACTCTCAAAGCAAATATATCCCCATGACTTAAGACCCTCACTCTGCTTATTCTCAGAGGCACAGATAGATCAAGGTACTTAGTTTCCCATGCATAGAAATGGGAAGTGTTTAAACAGGAGTTGGAAGCCTTAATATTTCATATCTCTGGGGCTAGGTCCCCAAAGGCTACGTCCATGCTGATAAATGAAAAGGATCAGGTGCTGGCGCACAGACACCCACCCAGCTCGACTAAGCACACACGCCCTGGCACAATCCCAGACTTTGTCAACCAGCATCCCCCAGACAGTGTCTAGACACAGATCAGCAAGCAGCATGGACCTCTCTTGGCTCCTCAGCACTTCCCACATCAGTTAATACTTAAAGATGTTTCACTAGCAAAGGGGCTCTGAAGGTGAAATCACCTGCCTTGACACTGAGCCCTCCCGACTTGCTATTGCGTTTCCGTGCAAAGTAAACCAACTTTGCTGCACAACGTTCCTGCACTTCTCGTCAGCGAGAACCCTTTAGTGCCCAACTGTTTGTAAATGCAGTCTCCCGGTCTTGCACGGGTTGGGGTTCAGCTCCTGCACTGCGGGGCTGCTGCACACCCTGCCTCCAGCATCAGAGCCAAAGACACCCCTTGGCACACGCGAGGGCCAGACCACAGGAGACAGCAGTGTTGAAGCCCTGCCCTTTGCCTGACACAGAAGTACTTGTCTGGGGATAGAAAGAGGAACAGAAACAGGGGCAATATTAGGGGCAAGGACAGCTCTTTAAAAAATCAGATTTATTGCTGTGCCACCCTTTTAGGGGGGGAATTTTTGCACCACTCACCCCAAAAAGGCCATTGAGTGACTCGAGCATGGCCAGAGAAGGGCAACGGAGCTGGGGCAGGGTCTGGAGCACAGGTCTGCTGGGGAGCGGCTGGGGGAACTGGGGGGGTTCAGTCTGGAGAAGAGGAGGCTGAGGGGAGACCTCCTGGCCCTCGGCAACTCCCTGCCAGGAGGGGGCAGAGAGGGGGGATGAGTCTCTGGAGCCAAGGCCCCAGCGCCAGGCCCCGAGGGAATGGCCTCAAGCTGCCCAGGGCAGGGTCAGGCTGGCTCTGAGGAAGGATTTCTGTGCAGAAGGGGCTGTTGGGCGTTGGAATGGGCTGCCCAGGGCAGGGGGGAGTCCCCGGGATCCCTGGAGGGGTTGAAGAGTCGGGCTGACCCAGCGCTGAGGGATCTGAGGGAGTTGGGAACGGTCAGTGGGAGGGTCATGGGAACGGTCAGTGTGAGGGTTGGGCTGGAGGAGCTCCAAGGGTCTTTTCAAACCAAAAGGATTCTGTGAATCTGGGAAATAAAGATGGGGAGGGAACATAACTCTGCAACCTGGTGGTCCTGGACATCACCAAACAAGGGTTCTGGGCATCACACTGAAGAAGGATGCCAGTGAGAGCCAGCAAAAGGGAAGCTGAAAGGGCAAACATGTGACAGAGGAGGTCATGTTGCCTCATGTTATGGCAGGAGCCTCAGAGACTGAGGCAACAAGATCCAGTCTGAGTCTGGATGAAATCCTGCCCACAATACCAGTATTTCAAACTGCCCCAGGGAGCGATGCAGCTGGAAAGCTGGCCCCAGATATGAAACATATTCAAGTGCTGTGAGAAGGTTTTTCTCACAACAAATTCAAGCACTTAGAAGTGAGCAATGAAATCAATCCTGCGATCAAATAGCAGTACCTGTGCAGGGAAATACGGCTCAGTTGCGTATGTAACGCTAGAGCAATTGTTTCCACTTTTAGGCCCAGTGAGGTCAATGAGATTATTTTTTTGAGTAAAATAAAACTGCATGTGCACATGATTGCAAAATTGGGAGTTCAAATGCCAACACCTTCTAGGAAA